CCGAAAAGGAGGGACTATTCGTAGTCTACTAAAATGTTGCTGTGGAAAATTAATATTACCTCTTGAACCTTTTTCTGGCACTACACGTACAGATTAAAAATGCTGGAATATGACACAAGACGAAAAAATTCACCAAGGAAGTGTTGAAAAACCTTCTAGTCATAAATCGCTAAAGGAGCCACCTTACTCCACTGAACAGCTCCTACTTGCACTGAAATAGAGCATGTTAAATCTGGATTTGATAACAAAAGTTTACCTTTAGCTAGAATCGTTGAGGGAAGCAGAAAGGTGGGGGGGAGGGGAGGGACTGATTTTGCTTTCACTAGGTATCGCATAATGATTTTTTTCTTGTTTACGCGCAGTTGGCGTCATAAATCTACGCAGAATGTCCTGGCTTCACTTTGTAATTGAAGTTTGCTTCAACTTCTCACCCATTTGCGCCTTGACAAAAGCTAAGCCAATACATGAGACTTTTTATTTGTCACCGACACATCATTCGTAGATGGACTGAAATGGACTTAGGACTCCTTTACTCAACAGAAAAAAATTGTACAACATCTGTTTGATTCCTCCCCAAAACATACATATCTCTCGAACTCTTGATTTACGATATTATAATGCAAAAGCAGGCATGCGTTTATGTCTAAGATAATTACCTATCGTCAGAACCTTTTAAGAATTAAACATACTAATAGTTTAGTATTTACTGACAGTCAAAGAAAAAAGTGAGTGGGCAAAGTTAATAATTTAGTACTGTGTGGGTCGAAAAACCGAAGTATTATATACACTAGGTTTTAGGGTTTTAGGTTTTAGAAAAACATCTCCTCTAAAATAAAATGTCAGTTCTCTGAGATGGCAACTTTCAGTTCTTTGCCCCAACATTCCCGGTAGAATGAAACATCTTCCTCTACTTGTGACATTTGTAGTTGACCTTTAATGCCAATTTTACTTTCGCAAATTTTGCTTTGTAGTTCAAAATCACAATCCCTTTGTGGCTCTTTCTTAATGGACTGCTAAGGGGTAATCCAATGTATTATTTCCACGTTTGTATAATTTCACGCTACATTAAAAAGAAAACCAGAGTTATGGTGACAAGGAATATGGAGAAGAAAAGTTTATTAGCTAATTAAACTGCATTCGCATCCCACGTGGAAAACTAGAATGATTTACCACTCTGCTGAGTAACAACAGAACTAACGTCAGTAAAGTCGCCAGAGTGTAGGGTGAAAAACGACATTATTTTCAAATTAAATAACTTTCNATTCCAAAATGTATACCTATTCCGTAAGATGCCACGAATATAAGAACAAGTATTATTACCAACCTCACTGTGGATTCCTTTAATCCTGCTTTTCTAACTTTCATTAGTTTCACAGAGTTTGCTGCTACGTTCAATCGAACTTGTGTCAAAAGAACTTTCGTCTCGCGAGAGAGTTTGCCAGGAAAATGTAGGATATGAGAATGTGCTGCGAAAAGAAATATTGTTGGTAATACTTGGAAGAGCACAGTGTTAATGGAAATAAATGTAGCTGTTTCTGCCGCGGGTGGTATGCTTCTGGTAAGATAGCTGATGGTTTGACAAATTATGAAAAGAAATGGAACTGTCCAACAAGTTCCAATGATAATGACTACCTTTGTTGTCGTAAAGAAACGGACGTATTTTAAGGAATGGACGATAGCGATATAGCGTTCAGCAACCATCGGGGTGAGGCAAAAGGCAGATGCTTCTATCAACAAGACAGCGATTACTCGCCGAACGCCGTTTTTGCATGTATCCACAAGCACATGGCAGATCATGGACGCCGGAATATATCCACAAGTAACACCAAGGTCGGCTACCGCCAAGGAAAGGATAAAAAAGTTTCCTGTTGTTTGTAATCGTCTTCTTTTAGCGATGATGAAAATAACCCAGCTATTCCCCGCCAGGCTAAGGAAAGAGAAAAACCAACCTACGACCCAGAACCAGTGAATAGTCATATCTACTGGTTTAGCGAGTGTAGCTAGATTCGATGGGGAACATTCACTGTTAACTAGAGGGGCGTCGACTAAAGGATATTGGTCTATCCAAAGTTCACTCGACGAATTTTCACCGTGAAGATCGGAGGCGCTGCCTTCAAATTACATTCTGCTTTCTGGTTCCGTCATGAATTCTGAGAGCTGTCAACAATTCTCCTAAAAAACAATTTCCTACCAATCGTGCTCTCTCTATCAGAAGAGTAACTATAGCGATCTTAACAGTTATGGTAGTCAAGAGAATAAACTCCATAGCTTCTTAAAGTTGCCTTTTTAGAACTGCTCAACATTTTATAACTTCATTTAAAG